CAACAAGGATTTGCTTCTATGTTCTTTTCTAAAAGTTTTCTAGTTTTAGTTTGTTTTCTATATAGCAGCTTTGTTGAGATATAATTTTCATACCATACAATTTGCCTGTTTAAAGTATATAATTCAGTGGTTTTAGATATTCACAGTTGTAGAGCCATCTTCACAATCAATTTAGAACACTTTCATCACCTCAAAAAGAAATTCCATACCCTTAGCAATCACTGCCCCTGCATTTTCCCCCAGCTGTAATAAGCCTAGACAACCATTAATGTACTTTCTGTATCTATAGATTTGCTTGCTCTAGACATTTCTTATAAATAGAAGCATACAATAGATAATTTTTTGTATCTGGCTCTTTCATTTTGCATGTTTTCAAAGTTCATCCATGTTATTGCATATATCAGTGCATCATTCTTTTTCATAGCTGAATAATATATCTTTTTTATAAGCTTTTATCGAATAACTAGAGGCCTGGTACATGTAATTCGTGCACTGGAGGAGTTGGGGGTCACTCAGCCCAGCCTGTGCCCTCTTGCAATCAGATATCCCTCTTGTAGTTGAGGACTCTCACAGTCTGGGACCCCTCACTCCTTACTGCCTGCCTGCAGCGGAGATGGGAGAGGCTCGCACCACTGCCTCTGTGCTTGCCAGCCGTGAGCCTGGCTTCTGGCTGAGCAACACTCCCCCTGTGGGAGCACACTGACCACCAAGAGGCAGCTCCTGTGTTGAGAGTCTGCCCCCTGGTGGTCAGTGCGTATCATAGTGACCGATCGTTCCACCGTTCGGTCGTTTTGCATGTTAAGGTTTTATTTTATAGGATATTTCATTGTATAGATATACCACATTTTGTTTACCCATTTATCAGCTGAAGAACATTTGGGTTTTTTATACTTTTTGACTATCCATATATATAAAAACCTAAGCAACTGTTCAACCATTCGACTGGTCGCTATGACGTGCACTGACCGCCAAGAGACAGACGCTCAACACAGGAGCTGCCAAGCTGCAGTGACTTGGCAGCAGCAGTTTTCAAGTGATGCACCCTGAAACCAGAGAGGAAGGAGCCCGATTCCTCTTGGGGCCGTGTGCGATTTCACCTTCGGCTGTGGGTTATGTTGTTGCTGGGTCACTGTCAGTCCTAAATCTGGTTTACTGCACACTTGCATTCACGTTCCACCCCCTGTATGAAGCAACTTTGCAGAGTGCCCTCTCGCAATCCGGGACCCCTCGGCGGATGTCGGAGAGCCAGTTTTGGCCCAATCCCCGCAGGCCAGGCCAAGGGACCCCACCTGCCAGAGGGACCCCGCTCACTCTGCAGATGCCGGGGAGGGACCACGGGAACGTTGGCTTCAGGGTGTGTCCGGCCCATCTTGCCCAGTCCCGCTCTGCCGGCCACCTTCTAATTAATTTCCTTTCAATGTACACGAATCCATGCACCAGGTCACTAGTATAAGATATGAGGTTTAGATCAAAGTTAATTTGGGGGGGGGGGGCTACTGGTGTCTAATTGTTCCAGTAATGTTTATTGAAAAGGCTTTTGCAACTTTTGTCAAAATCTGTTAGGCTATGTGTAGGTCTATTTCTGGATTTTTCTATCTGCACCATTGATCTGTATGTTTAGCACTACCAATACCATACTCTAGCTATATAGGGGGTCATAAAATTGAGTAGCATGTTTCCTCTAATTTAATTCTTCTTTTTCAACGTTGTTGTAGCTTTCCTTGTTCTTTTTGCCTGTCACATAAATTTTAAGATAAATTTATCTCTACCTACAAAAAAATCTTGTTGAGATTGGAATGGGAATTACATTTGGTTTACAGATTAGTTTTTAGTGAACTGCTGATTTTACTAAAATTGTTGTTTATATTGACCTGTGTTCTGTGTTTTTTGCAGATTTTCTTCATACACAATCTTGTTATCTGCAAAACACATCAGTTTTACTTTTTTTTCAATCTCTATGCTTTTATTTTATTTTCTCATCTTATCCCATTGGGTAGGGCCTCCACTATAAATATGAATAGAAGTGTTGAGAGCAGATATTCTTTTTATATTTCTAATCTTAGAATACATTTAGCTCTTCACCATTAAGTAGGAGGTTAGCTATGGGATTTTTAGAGATGAATATTGTCAAGTTAAGGAAATTCCTTTCTATTCTTAGTTTACTGGAAGGTTGTTTATTTTTTTAATCAATAAGAAGTTCTGAATTTTGCCAAATGCTTTTTCTGCATCTTTTGAAATTATTCACATGGGTTTTCTCTTTTATTTTGTTAATGTGGATTACATTGATTTTCAAATGTTAAACCAACCTGTATTCCTAGGAAAAAATCTCATTGGATTTGATTTACTAATATATTTTAAATAATTTTTGCATCTATGTTTACAAGGGATATTATTCTGTAATTTTCTTATCTTGTAATATCTTTGTTAAACAATAATATCAATTATTCACAAAATGAATGGAAAATGCTTCCATTTAATCTCTGTTAAGTTTATTGGCATACAATTTTTAATAGCATCCTCTTATTCTTCTAATATCTGTAGAATTTTTAGTGATGGCACTTTATTTCTGATTATAGTATTGTTAGGGAGTTTTCAATTTTATTATTCTTAGACTTTTCTTTTTTTCTAATATAAGCATTTAATATTCACATTCCATCCAAGCATTGCTTTTGCTTCCCACAAATTTTTATTTTTGTTTTCATCATTATTCAGTTCAAAATATTTTGAAAGTTCTTTTCTTCATCTTTCATGATATTGACATTTTTGAACAATACAGGCCAGTTATTTTATAGATCATAGACTGTTCCTCAATTTGACTTTTCCTTGTGATCAAATTCAGTTTATCGCATCTGGAGGCATAGAGTGTTCATCTGCTCTTCATTAGTAATTTTAGTTAATCACAAAGATGATGTCTGTTCTTCCCCACAATATATTATTCCTATTTTTATCCTAGCAATTAATAAAGAATCTGTGGTGGCACTTTGAAACCATGTGAATACACTTCTTTTCATCAAACTCTACATATTAGCTATAGAAATTATTCTTGCCTGAGCTAGTCTTAGGGAAACTATAGCAAAGTGATGATCTTTCCAATTCTACCATCTGCTTATCATTTGGCTTCTACTGTGAAGAAGATGCTCTCTTTCTTATTTTATTTATTTTTTATCAGTATAGACTCATGGATTTCTATATATCAGCAGATCAAAATTCATTACTATCATTATTTTGATGCTCAAATTTTCACAAATTTAACCAGTGGGCACCCTTTCAAGACTGTTCCTCTCTTTTCGTTTTTTGTTTTGTTTTGTTTTTTTGTTCCTCTCTTTTTGATATGTCCCCATATTTTTAGAGTCCTATAGCATCATTTTTAATAGTTGAAAGAATTTCTGTTGTACTAATATCTATGCAATAAAATACGTTTAACTATTTCCTAAGAATTTTAATTTTAGGTTTTGAAAATACTAAATAATGTTGTGATGAGCATATTACAATATTTACACAAATCCAAAGTTATTTATTTGGCATAATTAATTTCTAGAAGTAGATTTGTTAAATTGCTCTCTGGAGAAATTCTACCTATTTATATGTAACAAATTTAAGAATGCCCATTTTATTATTACCTTAGTTTGGGTAGAATTTAAATCAGTCCAGGGTTTTACTCTGTGGTTCCCAGACCAGCAATATCAGTATTACCTGGGAACCTGTTAGAAATACAGAATCTAGTGAGTCAGAATATGCATTTTAACAAGCTCCTCAGATAATATAGTGGCACATTGATGTGTGAGAAGCAATGTTCTAAAATAATTTATATAGGAGTCACAAATTGAATTGGTCCTAAATTTAGGCAAGGTAAGATCAGCAGCCTATACTGGCATTTATATTAACAAAAGGTGAAAGTGACAAAGAAGTAAAGTTGGTTATTGAAAAAGTGGTAGAGGCCTGGTGCATGAAATTCGTGCAGGGGTAGGGTCCCTAGGCCTGGCTGGCAATCAGGGCCAATCAGGTTCTCTGCCGCCCTGCTTCCCCACCTCCTCCGTCCCTTGCTACCACTGGTCACCCGCCATGTTCAGCGCCACCCCCTGGTGGTCAGCGCACATCATAATGAGCAAGCGAACTCCTGGTCTCCTGGTCGAATTCCTGAGAGGACACTTTGCACATTAGCTTTATGTACTATATATATATATATATATATCCTTTATATGTACTATATCCTAAGCAAGCCCATTGTAGGGGAGGGGTAAACAGGACACTGCAGATCAGCACAAACACTGTTTCCCCAGAACACAAAAGACAATTTCTCTCTCCAGCCTCCACTTCATCTGCTCCATCCCAAACATCGTGTGCACTAGCATTGTTCTTCTAGTGGTCGAAGGTAACCTGCATTCAGGAACAGTTGCAGTGTATGTTACAGTGCATATGCCCAGAGAACATGTTTCAGTAGGGACTGATATGATACTCAAGAATCATCATTTTAACAAGCACACAGATGGTTCTGATGTCCTGATGTCTGAGAACTACGACAAACATCACACTTCCCACAACACATCTGGAATGGATTGTTTCATCAAATGTTTTATTTGCTTCACAAGAATAGTTGCATTTTTATAAAAGCCTTCAGCCAGAATTAACTTTGTTGTTGTTATTAGTTAATGAAATGAGTAAGTCTAGGAATTCTAATTACTTCGTTAGCTCTCTCTAGTTCTAACCAAGTGACTCTAAGTGAGGATGGAGAGAAGTAATCCTGCTTACCTCTATTTCACTTTTGAATCCCTATCCTGAAGACTGCCTCATGAACCAGTCCACATTCTTTTAAATGAACCTCAACACTTTTTTCTTTTCTGTCAATAAATTTTGGTGAAATAAATTCTTATCATGGAAGAAAACATTGTTCCATCAAAAATTTGTTAGAATATATTATTCTTAAGTATTAAGTCGAATATATTAAAGAAATTATTTTAAAACTATTCAGTTTTTAAAATACAAATAACTTTTTTATATAGGAGGAGCAAAGAAAAAAGGAAACAGCACATTTAAAAGGTACTTGTTCTCAAAAATTTATTAGAAGAAATTGTAATCAACTTAGAACAATTCACATCTTTAAAAAATCAAGAGGCTATCCTAAATGTTATGAGTATTTTTAAAAACTATAAAAATTCAAGGAAAACCTTAATTTATTAGTATGTGAATGGGCATATATTTTTTAGAAAACAAAACTTGCAATGTTATATCTTAAATTAAAATGTGAAATTTTAATTTTTGTTCCTTATTTATACCCAAAGGTATCATAGTCATTGCCATGTAGTAATGCCAGAGGGTCAAAAGACCTGAGTGTTTTATAACCCTTTAAATAGTAAATATTATGTTTAGTGTCTCAAAATATTATCCTCCTACATAACTTTAGAAATACTAAGTATAAAATGTAACAAGGTATTTAAAAGAGCTTTAAAAATTATTACACATTAATGGCAAAAGTTAATATGTAAAATACTGTAAAAGATGTTTTAGGATATTGTATACATGTGATCTCTAAAACATTTTAAATACCAACTTTCAGCATAAATAATATAATAAGAGAAGCATGAGATTAGAGTAACAAAAATCTAGATTGAAGTCCATTTTGCATCTGATCTGTGGTGAGTTGTTTCTCTAATTCTCAGTCTTCTCTTGTAAAATGGTGCGAATAATAACTATCGTAAAGAGTTACTGAGAGTATAAATGAAATATGGAAACCTATTGAACCACTTTGTAATTGTAAGACACTATAGGAATATTGTTTCTTTTATTGATATAAAGCCAACTCATAGGCCCTTTATGAGACCAAATGCAGACCAAACATTTTGTAATCTGCCTACTCAAGGAGGCATGTATTTTTTAAAATAAGGCAATATTTAGCTACAAATAGTTAAGAAACTACCTGTCTTTTCTAATTTTAAAGAATATTCCAGAACTGATATATCTATCCTGTTTAGAATCTTCTTCTGTTTATAGCTTGATTTTATTTAGAATAGACTTTCTACTCTTGATTATCATAAAAATATTGCTAATTCCCAATTACATATTGAACATTGTACGTATGAAGATAGCAACTCAGAATTTTCACTTGTCCATTATAATCCTAAAAAGATTCTTTTTTTTTTATCCTCATGTGAAGATATGTTTATTGAGTTTAGTGAGGGTAAGGGAGAGAGAGAGAGAAAGAGATAAACATTGGTCAGTTGCTTCCCAAATGGGCCCCCACAGGGATGGAACCCACAACCTAGCTATGTGCCCTAACTGAGAATCAAACCTGCAACCTTTCAGTGAACAGGGCGATGTTCCAACCCACTGAGCCACACCAACCAGGGCAAGATTCTAATTTTTAACAGAAACATTGTCCTTATAATTAAGATTTGGCTCATGAATCTGTAATATTCATAGTAAATCTAATTTTCTTTTACAGCAAGTAAAGATCACTCTAAAGATGAATACTGCCTTGCAACAAAAAAGGTCACTTATAACCCCACAGAGACCAGCTCAACAGCAAAGAGCAGCAATACATCCTTATGCTCATCAACGTTACCATCTGATTCTTATTACAGCGAATCTATAGAAGCAACTGATGGCTGGTATTCTGATGATTCTCTAGTGAAAAGGAGCTCCGCAATATCTTTTCTCAAGGAATCTCTAACAGAAAAAGGATTTCCATACCCGTCAACCACTCCATTAGAAGAATGTACTGAATATGACACTTTATGATGATAAAAAATATGACAGCATTAAGGAAATATTTTCAGGAAGAAATACGGAGGTTGAAATATAAAACCTTCAACATAATATTGAATGACTTTCCTTTTGGAACTTTGTATACACTAAAATCAGTAGAGTTAAAACTGAATCACTAGCTTCTGAGTCTTTTAACATGTCCATGCTAATATTGCTTTTCTTTTTCTTTTCTTTTTTTTCCCCATAGAGTGGTCTTATTTCCCTTGCTGATTCTTATTCCTAAGAACAAAATTATAGGAAGAACTAGAGTGATATCATGAATATTAAGCTTAACTCCTTGTATCTCATCAAAGGACATAATAAATAGTACCTAATAAAATAATGCGAGTGTATTTCATAATACAGAAGGAATACTTTAAGAAATCTTTAGGTCAGATATTTTTTAATTGACTTTTAGAGAGAGGAAGGGTGAGGGACAGAGAGAGAGAGAGAGAAATATCAACCATCTACCTCCTGCATGTCTCCCACCAGGGACTGAGCCTTCTACATGGGCATGTGCCCTGACCCAGCATAGAACTAGCAAGCTTCGGTGCCCAGGATGAAGCCCAACCAACTGACCCCCACTGGCCAGGGCAGTATATATATATACTAGAGGCCCAGTGCACCAAAATTTGTGCACTAGGGGGAGAAAGGAGTCCCTCGGTCCGGCCTGTGCCCTCTCGCAGTCTGGGACCCCTCAGGGGATGACCACCTGCTGGCTGGCTTAGGCCCGCTCCCCGGGGGATTGGGCCTAAGATGGCAATCAGACATCCCTCTGGCAGCCCAGCAGCCCTCAGGGGATGTCCACTTGCAAGCGGGGAGCAGGACTAAACTGCAGTCAGACATCCTTAGCACTGCTGAGGAGGCGGGAGAGGCTCCCACCACCATCGCTGTACTGGCAGCCATCAGCCTGGCTTGTGGCTGAGCAGAGCTCCCCCATGTGGGAGCGCCCTCACCACCAGAGGGCAGCTCCTGCATTGAGCGTCTGCCCCCTGGTGGTCAATGTGTGTCATAGTGACCAGTCATTCCCAGTTGTTCTGCTATTAGGGTCAGTTTGCATATTACCCTTTTGCTATATAGGATAGAGGCCTGGTGCACGGCTGTGGGATGGCTGGTTTGCCCTAAAGGGTGTCCCGGATCAGGGTGGGGGTCCCACTTGGGTGTCTGGCCAGCCTGGAGGATGGGATGATGGCTGTTTACAGCTGGTCACACCCCCTTCAGCATGGGGGTCCCCACTGGGGTGCCTGGCCAGTCTGGGTGAGGGGGTGAGGGCC